TAAATCTACCTCTAGCCAAGGATCTAACTCCAATGGTAATCAATCCCATATGGACATATCTTCCTTGTTGGCCTAGTAGTTGTCTACCAATTTGTTGAGATATCAGAGAAATCTCATAAGTGTTGTCTGGAAGATGAAAATCTTCTATTCTTAGGCTAGTCCTTTATGAGCTTAACCATCCGATATTGTATAACTGTCTAGGATTCAAGGAATCTATCCTTGTATTTGATCCTATCTCAATATTTTGTTGTATATCTACTAAGTCTTCCAAACGTCTCGGTCCCACCACGATTCCGCGACTCTGATTCCCCCTGCTCTTTGGGAATCTCGAGGGGACTTACCACACGCTGTCCCAATTCCGTCATCGACAGGAATCGAGCACGCGTCCTCGCTCTCAGTACCAAAGGATGAGCACGCAGATGGTAACCACTTAGCCAAATTATTAGTTTTTATTATATTTGGATCATGTTAGAAAATAATTTTATTAATTAACTAGTTTTTAATTTTAACTATTTTTATAATTAACCATATATTATTCTTTTGCAAGTTATATTAATAAATAAATAAATATATATATATATATATATATATATATATATATATATAAGATCTATTATTTATTGTTTCCATTTCAAAAATTTGATATAATATTATGTTTTAGATAATATTTATTATATTTTAAGATATGTTTATGTTGATAAATGTGTGATAAATATTAATTAGAAATATGATAATATTAATAAGTGTTTTATAGAATTAAATTAGGTATTATAAAATTAAGTTATATATTCACAATTTTTAAGAATTTAATTTTATATGTTCAAATTTTTTTTATCATCTTCCCATGTAATAATGTAATAGTAGGAAAAGAAAAAGTAGGTGTATATTTTATTTATTTGTTATATATATATTTTTTAAAGGTGCTACATGAAAATGACTTCACATACGAAAATGTTTAAAAAATCTGTTTTATTATAACTCATTACCATCTCTAATTCACTGACTTTGATATTCAACTATCTAAACAAACCTGAGGCATGTTTCAGTAAGAACCATTGCAAAGTTTTTGTTTGTTGGGTCAGTTTTGGCATTAATAAATAGAGAGGATAAGTGGCTCCTTCATCTGGTCACCATGCCACCTTCATCAATTCAATAATTCTTCATACTTATTTATCACTTTTCTCTTTCAGATGTTCTTTCTCATCCCATTACTTTGACACTACTTCTTCATACAAAAGTGGGTCAATCAACTATGATGTTGAATTTTGTCTGTTCATGCAGCCATCCAATGTCTGCATCCTCATAATTACTAAATGTGTATTTCTTTTTATAAATTTATATATTACTTTTATTTTATACTTTATTTTATTGCACTCAATTTGGAAAGTTTCAATTAAGCCACGTAGGCCTAAAGTTATGGTCATGATCATTCTACCATACCAGCATATTCAATTATAATTTTCCTTAAACTTTATTTTATTAATTAATTAAAAATGTGAATGTCATATTATTTTCGCGCGCCAGTGATAAAAATGTCAAAATTTTCGTCTGTTGACCATGGCAGACTCTTATTTCACCAGAGGCACATGTGATGTTTTTCACGATGATCTTGAAAATTTTGAAATTATATTTTCTTTCTTTCTTTTGTTTCCTGTTGCTGTTTATTTTTCAATAACGACAACCATTAATCACGGATAGAGATACAAGGCTTCAAAATCTATTGTAACATCAGAGTGACTACAAGACGTACCATGATTCAACTATTTAAAAAAAAAAAAAACGTACGACCATTTTAGTCAACTACCTCGTGTGCATCGTTCATATTCTTTTAACGTATAATGTTGTATATGAGATGAGAGAAACCAATTATAGAGTAAATTATATTATTTATTTTAATTTTTTTACAAAATTACACTAACATTTTTTAATTGCTTGACTATTAATATATATATATATATATAATGTTTTTAATATTTTAAAATATTATATCACTGCTTAAGAAAAAAGTTACTATAAGTATTAAAAGTAAGGTTGTCTTAATAGTTTATATAATTTACTCTAAATTATTAATTTTTAAATTATATATTAAAAACCTAAACTTTCATTATAAAAATAATTAAATTTTCCTATTTTTTTAGTAAATTTTCTTTTCATAGTTTCTTTTTTAAATGAATAATATTTTTATTATTATTATTATTTTATTAAAAAGTGAACTATGATTTATGTATCACCCAATTCATCGTCTTTTTGAACTGGATGTAATCAATTTATTTAGAAGGTGCATGAAAATATGTCAAATAAAATGGACTTTAATTTATTAATTTATAAATAATAATAACTCGTGTCATATTAGAGGATAATAAATGTTGAAGAAAATAATGATAGCAAAATTAGTGAAAGAGGATCGTTAGCTTTTATAAGACGGTGCAACTAAATCTATAGACTTTTCTTTAGCTATATTGTTTCTTTAAATGATATAGTGTGTTATAAATAATAACATTTAAATTTAATTGAAAAAAATCTTAGGTTTTGTTTGTTTTCTTTTTAAAGTCTTAGGTTTTCTACTGTAATTGTTACTTATTGAAAGTAATTATACGTATTTATTTAATCATCATTCATGGAACAAAAAAACTCTTACAAATTTTTACACCGTCAAATATAGTCTAATTATAACTTCTATTTTATTTTTACAATTGTATTAAATACAAATTCATTTTCATATAAATCATATATAGGTATATTAAAAATACGTAATACCTCATTTATATAAATCAAAATTAATGAAATGTATAAATTTCAAAATATATTAAAATATTGGCATAATAATATTTAGTAAATATTTTTATTGATATGAAATTCTGTACAAAATAATTTATAAAATGTAGTTTTTATATTTAATTTTGTTTTCCTATTTTTATATATTACTTTTAAAGGAAACAATGTTTATGAAACTTATTTTTTAATATTCTAATAATAATAATAATAATAATAATAATAATACAAATATATTATTAATATGCGGTCTGATTTCATCTCATAAAAAAATAAAGTCAAAACATACATTTTTATTATATTAAATAAATTTGTAGTATTTTTATATTGATTTATATATTAAAATTAGCGTCTTTAAAAAAGTTTATTATATAACTCGTTGAATATGTTAATTTAATCTTTATAATTAATACGTTATTTTGTAATCAATTTGAAACTAACGTATTCATATGTTAATTTGATAATGGTACATACTAGTAACTTTGTAATTATTTTGACAAAAATAATTACATATCAATATTGTAATTAAAAATAATAAAATTACTATATTTATTAAATATTATATATACACTTTTTTTTTTGAGAAATCAATTATAATATAGGATGATTTTTCAAGTTAAAAACAAATATTTTGGTGATATTGGAATAGGTAACAACAGAATTATTAATTATAAGTGTTTATTAATGGTAATCAATACATTAATTATATAATTAATGTTAACACTTTTTTTTTAAAATTGAGATGTTAGAATGTATTAAAAATTAGTATCATTACCGGACTTTAATAAAATAATAATATTTAATATTATTTCCAAATTCAAATATTAAAAATATCAAACATTATAAAAAAAATGAACTGATTTTATCATGTTTAAGTTGTACTATTTCTAAAATATATTTATTCATTCGATATTTTATTTTAATAACTTCTTTTAAACGAAGGATAATTTTAAGTACACGATTAATAAAACTAAGCTAGTATAAATGATTTTTCAATCAGTATATAGATAAATTATTTTATAAATGTAATATTGATATCAATTATATTTGTCGTGATCAGAAATAATAATTAATATTATAAAAAAATCCTGAATGCATATAGTGTTATTTTTTTTCCAGCATTATTTATTTCAATATTTCGAGTCCACACAATGTTATTTTTATATAAGCTAGTTAAATTTCTTAATTAATATTTAGTTAATACATCGAATTGATAAACTAAGACATGTTAAATTTGCAAGGAAGACTTGTATTTATTATTTCTAAACATAACAAATGATTTTATGGTCTAAATAGTGAATTGATAAGCAATTAATATATATATATATATATTATTAATTATTTTGTAGAAATTAGATTAGTCAATACTATAGATGCATTAATTTATATTAAACCAGTATATAAATAATGTTTTAAGTGGTAAAATTTATATTAAATCGTTTCTCAGTTTTTGAAAGTAAATGAATTTAAATTTATAAAAAAAGAAATTGATGTGTTATTGAAAACTTATTGAAAGAACGACAAAGAGCACTGGCGAAGAAAAAGACATTGAGAATAAATGGAATAAAAAAACGTAGAAGATTGACGAATGAGAGAGGTGGAGAGAAAGGGGAGGGGGACAAAATGAGGGAAAAAATGTTTAAAAAAACTATAAAGAGGACAAAAAAAAGCACTAAGAATCCACGGTAAGGAAGGTGTCAATCCAAGTCAACTACAACATAAGCTGGCAACCAACGGATCCTCAAAGCTTTTTCCCACAGATCAAACGGCTAAAACCATGCCTTTGACCTTATTTTAAACCCCAACGACGCTGAGATCAATAATAACCCTCCCGTGGGACCCACGATTCAGAAAAAGTCAATATCTCCCCCACTACTGCTCTCTTCCTTCAGATGCTTTTTCTCATTGGAAAAAGAAAATAAAGTGTTTTCCTTTTTCTTTTCTCCGTCCGCAGAGACCAAAATACCCTGTTTCAGCGTTACATCTTACGTACACACATACATTGTATACGAGCAATGTCACCTAAATTTTGACGGAAACAGGAACGAGACGAGTAGGGTTAGCTAGCTAGCGTGACAGTACAGTCACCAAGTGGACCAAACAAGCCACTATCGTTTTTTTTTTTTTTTTTGGCATCATTTGACCAGGGTACCCTATGACTCTCTTTTATTTTCTATTGCCCTTTTAACAACACCTCCTTCTACACCTTCTCTCTCTTTGATGCAAGTATGCCTGTGGAGCTCATCATGGGGTATAGGAACGACAATTTCGCCGAAGAGAATGCGGTTCGTGAAGCTGCGTCGGGGCTAGAGAGCGTTGAGAAGCTCATTAGGTTGCTGTCACACGCTCAACTGCAACAACAACAACAACATCAACAAGAACAGTCACAGAAATCCAATTCAAAGTCGTCCATGGAAATTGAATCCGATTACAGAGCTGTCGCTGACGTGGCAGTTTCCAAGTTCAAGAAGGTGATTTCGCTTCTGGGCCGAACCAGAACTGGCCACGCGCGTTTCAGAAGAGCCCCTGTGCCTCCCCCGCCTCCTTCCGAACCCAGATTCTACCGTGCAACGCCGCTGCAGCAGATCCCGCCACCCGCCGAACAACACCCTTTCACCCCCAAAAATGGAGTGATTGAGACAAAGGACTCTTCCAAGACCATCAATTTCTCCTATTCTAATTCCTTCGTCTCCTCCCTCACCGGTGACACCGACACTAAGCAGCCCACGTCGTCCTCGCCGGCCGCGGCACCTTTTCAGATCACGAATCTCTCTCAGGTCTCCTCCGCGGGAAAGCCTCCGCTTTCGTCGTCTTCGTTGAAGAGGAAGTGTAGCTCTGAAAACTTGGGTTCTGCCAAGTGTGGCAGTTCCTCTAGCAGATGTCATTGCTCAAAGAAGAGGTAAGTATATGTCAATCTTTTTATTTTTATCCTTAATAATTGTTTGAAAAAGGAAACTGTTTCTGTGATGTCTGGTTCTGATGCATTCTGTTTTGGATTGGTGTGGCGCAGCAGAAAAATGAGGTTGAAGAGGGTGGTGAGGGTACCGGCAATAAGCTTGAAGATGGCTGATATTCCACCAGATGATTATTCTTGGAGAAAATACGGACAGAAACCCATTAAAGGATCTCCTCATCCAAGGTACATATAACAACATTACATCGTGTTCTGATTTAAACTATCCCCCACTTCAATTGCTAGTTTAATTTGCTCCTTCACCCTTCAATTTCAAATTTCAAAATGTACCCATATTTTACTGAATTGAATCCACCCCATTTGTTTCCATTTTTTCTCTTTCCGTGAGGGCTAAATTTAGAAAGATCTTATCTTTGCTTGGTCTTGTATCCTTCCCCGTAATATGTTGCAGAGTTAATTTTGAATACGTGAAGTGATTAGTGGTGAACTGAGTTTTATTTTTGTTTGAATGATTAATTGCAGGGGTTATTACAAGTGCAGTAGTGTTAGAGGTTGTCCAGCGCGCAAGCATGTAGAGAGGGCTTTGGATGACCCTTCTATGTTGGTAGTCACTTATGAAGGTGAACACAATCACACACTCTCTGCCGTCGAAACTACTACTAATCTTATCCTAGAATCTTCTTAGCTAATTAATCACCGTTTTCCCATCACAGAGTATATTCTGATCATGTCATTCATGGCTTGTACACTTGAAAATTTTACTCTCGAAGGAGATTAATTAATTGATGGGTGTTCCATGTTCACATGTTCTATACAAAATTGTATTCCTTTTTTTTTTTCTCTTTAAAAACTTGGACCGACCGACACTGAATCCAGCCATGAGGACTATGTATTTTTTTTCTTTTAAAAAAAGGTAAAGATGGCGAATTTGGTAACGGGTTTAATTTAATTTGATTCAAATCTAAAGAAAAAAGAAGAAAGGAGGAAGTGGGGTTGGTTTTGTTGTCCTTTATTTTTCTCTCTTTTCTGTTTGATTGCTTTACATGTGGTGGTGATCTTGGATGCTCATGGTCTCTCTCGACCTTAATGGGGGAGTTTGGATGAAAGGGACGGAGTCAAAGAAGGGAAGAGAAGAGGAAGGACATGTGGTGTTAATTGTTAAAGTTAAAGAAGGTTGACTAAATGCAAGAGTGGTTGGCACTTGGCAGTTGCCAGTTGGAAGGGCAAATTATAGTGAATGAACTGGGAAGGTGAGGTGAGTGATGAGTAAAGGGGGAGAAGAAAGAGAATTTTTAATGCAATTTTTGTTTGAACCCTTTGGTTTCTAGGATAATGTTTGGTTGGAATGTTAGTACACTTGGAGAAGAAGGATTTCTCCCTCTTATTACTTGTTTGGATTAATGCTTGGAACTTTAATCAAACATGTAGGTGTCAAAGTAGGCCTGATCTCATTTGTCTTGAGATTCTGATGGGAAAACCTATGCCAAAGTCAACATGGGTGGGTGTGGAATTGATCAGATGATAATTCTTACACTGAAGGGTCCTACCTCGTTTTAAATTTGTGTATTTGTTTGCTTTCCATTGCCTTTGCCTTAACGTTTTCTTTATTATTCAGCGCACAGGTCCAGTCCAAGCCCTCTTTTCATTATTCCTCGATTTCGTTTCACCATTTTTGCATGTGGCTTCTTCAATTCTTTTCTATACTTTCTCGCACTCCAACTCCAAAAATTGGGTACCTTCAAATATGTTTATCCTTTTCCTATCCAACGGAAAATTTTGAGTTTGCCAAGAATTTGAAATTGGGGAACACATATATTCAGTTTATTTGTAGCATTATAATCAAGCTAACATACATTCATTATAATATTTTGAAAATGACACCTCATATTTCATCTATCCCACCAATTCGGTTAGGAGTAAGGTCACTTGTTCCTACACTTGTCTATTTTATTATAATAATATGTTTAGAGTTTTCGTTATGGATTTTTTCCGTTTTTAATGTTCTTGAAAAATCAAAATGTATTTATAACTATTGTAAATTTATTTTATGTGGTTTTTTTCAAATTTAATAGTAAAATTTGAAATCAAGTTGAGGTTGAAATACAATATATTTTAGATTCTTTATTTAACTTTGTCAATTTGAATTAACATTATGAAATAAGTAATTTGATATATCATTTTAATTTAGCGTGTCAGAATTTTTTATTTGTAGAATAAACTAAGTGATTCGACCCATTGTTTGTCCTAACCCGATTACTTGATCAACATTTAAAAAAAGAATAAAAAATAAAATTGACTATAAAACGTCATAGGTGGACTTTGACTATGTAACACCAGGATTAATTGTGATAAGCTTATTTGAGTTTAATCAGTAATTTTAATTTTAACTTTTTTGATAAAATTGCATTAAATATAAAAAAAGACAATTGTTTCTTGAAATTATGAATATTAGGTATCATGTTTTATAGAAATGATTAAATTACATGGGATTAATTATAAACACTGTCAATATATCTGAATTGTCAAAAAAAAAAAATTAAAAATTTAATAATAACTTTTTAAATTTCTGTTTGTTCGGTTGATATGTTGCAATAAACTATAGAAGAGTGAGTGGTTGTGGTTTATATCAACCAATGGAAATGCGGTGATGAATTTGTGGATTAAGGCGAGGTGTTACGGTTCAAGTGAGAAGAAAGAGGAGAAAGTCAGCTTCCATAATATTAAAATACAGTTTTAGCCTTAGATTTTTAATTATGACTTCCAAATTTATAAATTTATACTGTGCATGGTGTATGATGAATTTAAGGCTAAAAAATCAATTATGAAATAAGGGATAATCATTTTTTTAATTGATTATTAGCTTGTATAATTAATACTAAGAACAATATGTTCTGCTTTTATCTTCTTTCCATAATAATTATCTATGTGTTGTACAGGTGTTTTAGTTGTGATTTTTACTTTGGGTTGCGTTATGAGGTAGTATTGTTGGAACGATGATTATTTTTAGTGGTTTTGGTTGACGGTGATATTTTATTTTAAATAATATATACTAATTATTTTTTATTTTAATTTATTTTTTAAATATAAAAATAAAATTATAATTTCACAATTTTATCAATTAAAATATTTTTTTAATTTATTAAATCAATTACTTCGTTCACAAATTTACTTTTTTTTTAATTCAAATAACTTTAATTTTATCTTTATTTCTCTACAAATTCATATTTTTTTATTATAAATTCATCTTCCAATCCAAACGTACTAATTATCAAAATACTATTTAAACATATGCGTGATAATAGAGGAATTAAAAATAAATAAATATACTAATTATCAAAATACTATTTAAACATATGCGTGATAATTGAGGAATTGAAAATAAATAAATATAAGATTCAGCTTTTGAAAGATTTTTTTTTTTTATGAGAATGGCATAACAATAACACTGAAAAATAGAAACATGCTTCAATCTGACGATAACCTTAATTACTACCACTTTTATTGTTCTAGTCTATATGTACGAAGAATGTTTAAAAAGTTATTAAAATGCAGAATTTTCAAAGTAAACAATTTAAAAGAAAAATACAAATTATGCAAATTATAAGTAAATAAATAACTGATTAATTCAACTAAAAAACTTTTAAACTATTTAGAAAAAAAGGCACATTCAAAGAAATATGAATAAATAAATTATAAACTATTTTAAATAACAAATGTATAAATAAAATGAAATAAAACAGATACATTTCAATCACACAAATATAAAAACATACTTTTTATAGATTTAAACAACAACAACAAAAATATATCACAAATCAATAAGAGAAGATATATAATTTTGTATCTACTATAATTTATATTTTGATAAAAAAAAAAAAACTCCTTTTATAACTGGACTTTAATAAAAAATAAATAAAATTGAACTAGAGTTTTTATGATAGGCAATAGGAAACTAGTTGAACTGGTATTATATTATCATCACTAGCAGTTTAAGGAGCTGTGACAGTGGTAACATGCTTCTTTATCAAATGAACAAGCTTCTCAAGGAAAAAAACAAAATTCATCTTCAACAGCGAGCAACAAGATTTGCTAGCATCTAAAAGTTTATGCTTGAAACATGGGTCAAGAATCTGGGAGAAAAATACAAGTACTATCAAAATTGAACCACTGAGCAAATAAAAAAACAAACAAAATAATGTTAGAACTACTTGTGAAAATATCTCCTAAGCTGTCACCACTAAACAGTTTCTCGTTCAATCCATCATCAATGTGAAATTTATGAGGAAAAAAATCCACAGAAATCTTCTTGAGCAGCAGCAACTTTACCCCCCCCCAAATGTAAAGATAAAGCAAATAATCCACTGAAATTACCACAGTCATAAACCATCCCTGATCAGAACAAATCCAAAACAAAACTGCTTAATGTTCTACAATCAACCTGAGGTCCACTACATTTTTTTGATCCAAAGAAATTATGAAAACAAAGTATAAAAAAGAAAACAACAACGAAAGGTCCGTTGATAACAAGAAATCATTACCATCAACTGTCGTTTTTAAGAATGCCTGTTTCATTTTAGAATGCCTCTGTTTTCTAACCTCTCTCTTGTCTTTCCAATAGATGAATGATTTTAGTTGGAATGTAAATTTTCTTCTTATTTGTTAAGTTATTGAGGTGTAATTTTTCTATTAATAGGACGAGGAACAGAGAAAAAAAAAAAATGTAAGGAGTCGAATAATTTGAATTTGTTCAGCAAGGATCATGTCACATTATCCAAAATGATTCCTCAAATTTACCTTCAATTCGTCCTGTGAGATTGAAACAATGTTAAGATATGAACACTCCAAACACGTATTGCTTGAAACATGAGTTGTCTTTATCAACATATCCTCACTGAAATTTGGAAGTGCCAGAAAAAGAAAATGGGAAAGAAAGAATTATCTTTTACAAGATCCAGCGAAGAAGTAAACAATGCAACTACAACGATCATAAATACCCATGGCTGGCTATGATATACTTCTGCATAAAGCTTATTGTAACGTTGAAGATATACCAACTAAGACGAAGAAGCAGACCCTGATGAGTGGTTATGATTCTTGCAATACTTGACGCTACTCTCGTCCATTTTTTCCAGCACATAATGTCCCAAAGAGTGCGTTGTCTCCACCAAATTTTCCTTGCACAGAAACTCGTTCCCACAAACCTTTTCCACTTTCCCTGAGAAGTCATGCACAAAAACATGCGTCTTCGGGTTCCCACCCTTCTTGCTCCGGGCAAGCACGCCGGCGGTGAAGATCGGAGACATTCTGCCGGGAGCGTCGGGCCAGTCACCTCTTGGACCATCCACCAATATCACATCCCAATCCACTTCATAAACGTGGTTGGGAAGATCGTTGAGTCCTAACTTGCATTCAGAAAACAGAAGATTCTGCACTGGCCTGCACTCGTTTCCCACCTGTTCTTTAGCTGAAGCAATTAGCTCCTTCATCTCGCTCCTTTTTGTCGTGTATTGCACGTCATAGGCATCGATCTCGGGGTGCTTTTCTTCGAAGTATGCGGCGTAGTACCGGTTTTCATCGATGAAAACAGTTCTTCCGTTGTAGTTGAGGGCTTTCCAGAGGAGGGTCTCTGGGGTGAGGCCAAAGATGAGGAAGTTGCATGGTGATGGGCACTTTCGGAGCACGTCAGAGATGGTTTTGAGGTCTGAGTGGAGCATGTGGTATGTGTCATTGGATTTTGATGCATAGTGAAGGAGGGTGTTGATGACGGAGGAAGGTAAAGGGGTGTTGGTGAAAGTGGATAAAGTGGTGGAAGAGGCAGTGGTAATGGTGGATGAGGTTGTGTCTCTGGTGTAAATGAGGGTTGCAAGGAAGGCCAGGGTGAAGAAGGATATGAATGCTAGAAGCCATAGGCGGTTTGAGGTTCCTTGTTTTTGGATATATGGATGGAGGAGGATGAATTTTGTGTTGCTGTTAGTGTTCTTCATGTTGGAGGGTTAAAGAGATATGATTGGTTAATTTTGCATGAAAAAAATGTGTGGTAGAGCTGTAGATTCTGAGCTCTGGGGGAGAATTGGGGGAGAAGGTTTGATTTAAATTACAAGAAGAGCGAGTGTGAGCAATGTGAAGGGAAAATATTATTGAGAGTGACCTTACAATGACCATGTCCTTGCTTTCAGGTTCTGTCTACAATTGAAAACAAAGTTAATGAGAGGGAACTAGTTGTTGTTTTTGTTGTGTTGAATTTGGTTTTGCTTGATTAGTGTGGTTGGTATTCTGGAATAATTTATCCCCAATATGTGTATTGTTGAACTTATGAAAGATGGTTTATGCTGAACCAAATAAGGATGAGGAATAAGTATGCTGGGGTGGTTGGACTTAAGGTGAGAGAGAAGGTGTAGCGACCCAATATCTAATTACAAACTGGAAGTCGCTTTTCCTTGGTGATTTAACCTTTGGTTTCTAAGTAACCCCTTTGGAATATTGGCAATTTATGAAAAAAGTAGCTACCTCTGAAGGGGACTCAGTACCTGCTGCAACATGTCCTTTCCTTGAAATCTTCTTGTGAGTATCATTCTCTGTAATTGGTTATACAACAACGACTTCGAAGTAAAAAGAAATGGCAGTGATAACATAAATTGGTGAAGGTGAGAATCAGAAGAAAAGAAAAAGAAAAAACGTGTACTCCTTTCTTGAAGTGTTCAACTATGCAACTACTTCTCACTTGCTACTGCTACTCCTTCAGTTGCTGAGACTGCAAGATTAAATGTAAAGGTAAAAGGAATCATCTGTCAAAGAAGACCAATTTCTGGACACAGCTTTCTTTTGAAAAAGCAAAGTTTTGTTTAAAAAAGATGTTAGTAGTAACAGTGTAGTATATAAGGGGTTGAAAAAAGTACTACGTGTTAATTGTTTAAGTTGAATTAGGTCAATAACTGAATTTTAGTGTGGTAAAAGAAAATCTAAAACTTCAAGTTCTATGGGTTTTATAAGATGTGATGTAAAATTTGTGATTAAGGTTAATGTCTAGGACAAAACATTTCGTTAAAAAAAGCAAATTTCTACTTAAAAGAATGTCTATAAATGGATCGTAAATAAGTTTATGATTTTGATGGATAAGTTGAATGGGTTAATATCATTATTTTAGAGTGATGCAGGTTTTTACAAGATGTGATGTCAAGTATAATTCTTTATCAAATATTTTCATGTAATAATCATATTTAAATTTTTTATATTATTATTTATTGATTTTAGTTTATTCTCTTTTATCAATAAAAATATATTATTTTAAAATTATTTGTTGGATATTTAAAAAATGTTAGATGTAAACAAATCTTTTTCCTTTTTTAATTAATATAATATTTAAAAGAGGATGATCTTTTGACAATTTCACGTCTAAAATATAATAAAAAAATATTAAATAATGTTATTATATTAATAGAATAAGTGGGTAGATGAATGTTTGAATTGTAAATTAAACATTTTTCTATTTAAAATTTAGCGACTAGCACCCTTTATAAAATAAATTTTGAATAAAATCAAATTTAAATTATAAAAAATTGATGGATTCAAAAGTTATAATTAATTGTAATATATAATTTACTCTTTTTAAAAATAATTAAATTATATATATATATATATATATATATATTATACAGTTTTAAGTTAAAATTAATTTAAATACCATACAATAGTTAATTTGTAATACTAATAATAACCCATTTTTAGAAAGGATAGTGCTGCTTTTTATAGTATCATAAGCAAACTTTGCGTTGTAATTAATTATATTATTTTTAAAAGAGTAATTTCAATATTCCATGTCATTGAACAGATTAAAATACTTATTCAATGGTTCAATTAAGTTTATATTATAAAAAAATTATTTTAATAATTAATAAGTAAACAAAAAATATATTATATTTTAAAATAAAACATAAATTTACAAGTTTTTAACCTTTGATATATATATATATATATATATATATATATATATATATATATATATTAGGAATTTGTAAATGTTAAGATTGTCGTTATTTAAAAAAAAATAAAAAATTATCAATTTTTTATTTTGTAATCAGTTTTTCCGTTATTTTCTGAGTTTTGACTTATACGTGCTTATGCAGTGAATATTGTACTATATTAATTTAGTATTATAAATCAAGTCAATATCTTATTAAATTATTTTTTAAGCTGATTTTCTAAGTTTATTTGAATTAATTAGTTGATCAGTTTAAATTTAAAAATTATCGTAATTACTCCATTTTTTATTGAAAAGATTTTGTCATGTAACAGCATTGTCAACAATCACAACGCTGAATGCATTCTCGTAAAGGGATCTTTGTTGAAAAAGTTGAAGATTAAGTTTAAAAAATAATAAAATATAAATGGGAGGGAGAGAATACAAATTGGATGTTGGGCCTCGTAGAAAACTCAAGGCCTCACAGTCATTAGGTCCAATTTGTAGTTTTGTATCAACATTCTGAAGTAAACAGGCCAGAAGAAGTTAACAACCAATAATGTTATTTTTCTTCATGCACCTCCTCCGTACATTTTTTAATATTTATTTGAAAAGATAATAATACATTTAGTAATTTTTATAACTAATCATCTGAAAATATATTTTAAAATATTTCGGATTGAAAATATATATTTTTTAGATAAATAGATCAAATTTTTTTTTTTTAAGTTTTTGAATACAAGAACATAATTTTATCAACTTGAAAAATCAATCCAAAAATTTCCAAAAAACTGAATAAGCAAATGATTTGTACACCTTTATGATTCAATGAAATCCGAAATATAAATTCATTGTTTCGCAAAAAGGTTAATTTAAAATACTATTAAAAAATCATAAAACTTATGAAAATATTAATTTATTTATTTTTTTAAAGCTTTGTGCAATTTTTTTTAAAATAATTTCGGAAGACTCATCTAAAAAACTTTTAGATCAATATTATTTATCATTAATATTATCTTCTTAGATGAATACGAGGCGAAGGAAACAAGAGTCAAGCAAAAATGCTGTTCCTCAGTCCTGTTTCCAAAATAAAGCAATTGACTTGTTATGTGTCTAAGAAAGTGGTGTTAAAGTAAATAGGACTTACACAAAGAGAAAATAAAATTATATAAAGAGGATAGAACCAAGTTAAAGAAAAGTGAAAAATTAGTAGTCTTTTTTTTTTCTTGTGTGTGTGGGGGGGTTAAGATAAATAAAATATAAGATTGGGATGATTTAGTTATTTGAAATTTTGAAGTTAACTTAATTAATCCCATCACTCTAATATTTTAGTTTCATAGTTTTTTCTTTTATTAAATTATTAAAGTATTTTAATTAATTTATTAAAGAGGGAGTTGTTGTGTTTTGACTGGTATAAGAGAGAGAAAAGTTTCTAAGTTCACCAATTATTTTTTTCAAACGGGTTCACGCGCCATTCACACCATGGTTGGAAACTTTTTTTAAAAACAAAAACTAAAAAGTTTAATTTTATTTTTTAAAATTATTTTTAATAAAAAATATATAAGTAATTGAAAAAAATTCAATAAGTTATGGGATAAAAATAAAATATTTAACATAATTATTGATAAAAACTTTGATACTCATTAATAAAAAAAAAACATCTTCAATCAATATTTTAAGTTTTCAAAAATTAGAAACATAAGTTATTTTTAAAAATTAAAAGACTGAAATCTGTTTTCCAAAATAATAAACAAATAATTCATATAATATATTTTTTATCTTTATCATTTATTTTTATTGACCTAATAATTTAAATAAATTAAATATTTGTTATTATTATCTTAAAAAATAAATAAAAATATTTTTATTCTTAAAATATTTTTTTCTCCTTTATTAATATATATAATTGCTCTGAATTGTATATTACTATGATTATGCATCAAATTTTAACAAAAATCATTAGTAATAAAGTTATTTATATTTATATATTATATATTACATATTATTGTCACACTGAAAATTTAAATTTAATGTAATTCATGTAGAAGAAAATTAAACTTACTATTAGTGATTTTTTTTCAAAACAATACTGTGTATCATAACTTTTATTTTAAGTGTTTGTATTATTTAAAGAATTAAAAGTCAATAGAATTAAATAAATTAACATTCTTATTCAATCACAAAACAACATAATAATTTTTGTTAATCATCAAATTATTCTGTTTTTATTAAAATATTTTTTTAATGAAACAATATAATAATAAGTAAAAAATGAGAAATGAGAAATGCATAAGTTAAAAAACACAATCAAGAAGTCAAATTGAGGCATCTGGTATCCACATGCTATGGGAATAATTCAATATACTTATAATTGTATAAGAAAACTAATAAGTGATAATCAAAATTGATTAATATTTAATTAATGAATTGGGATGAAATTAAAACAAACCTCAATTTTGTTATCATCAACTTAAAATAAAATGAATTTAAATCAGTGTTTTTTTATTAAAAAAAAAAGGGCAACAAGGGGACACGTGATGGGGTGTGGGACAGGATAGCGTGATTCTCACGCGAGAGAAGATAGAGAGTTTTTGAATCCCTGACGAGAGAGAATTTAAAGGGAACAAATGAATCCGCGGTTTTAGATGAAATCAGGAGCGTTGGTTTTATTGTTGTGGGGAGAAGAAGCGGTGCAGAAAATAAAGTGAGTTGAGTACAGATTGTATTTGTACCGCAGGCAAGTAGCAGAGAGAGGGGTGTTATTCTAGTCTTTCAACAAAAAAAAGGTATAAAGTCAGAAAAATCACCTTATTCATTCTTCTTCTCTACTCTGATTCTTCTTCAGATTTTAGGAGGATAATCGACACACAGAGACATGTCTGGTATTGCACGTGGACGTCTTGCTGAGGAGAGAAAATCATGGAGGAAGAACCATCCACATGTTTGTATCGAAACACTCCCTCTCCCCCTTATTGTTTTTCTGTCTGCTTATTTATCGTCAATTTCTTATTCCCCTCTCGTTGCAATCCATGTTTGTTTCTCTCAATTTAGGGTTTTGTTGCCAAGCCCGAGACTCTCCCTGATGGCACCGTCAATTTAATGGTCTGGCATTGCACTATTCCTGGCAAGACTGGGGTGCGTCGTTACTCTTTTATTGTAATTTGTATCCCCTTCTCTAAACACTTCCTCTGCTTTTATCTTCAATGCTAAAATTAAATATCTTTTTATTATTGTTGTTTTTGTACTCGGTGCTTGTCTCCCAAAGGTTTAGTGATTGGAAGTAAAATAGAGGGCTTGATCTTTCTCGTATATGATTTTTTTTTTAATCTATAGATCACGGCTAATGACTTCAGGTTTATACAGATTCAGTTTGGTTAACATGCTAGTAATGGTTGTGCCCTTTAGGACTTTGTGTGCTTTGGAGTCTTACATGTGATGACAGGTGCTTTCTATCAGTTTTAATGGAATTATTGGTTGTACGACACGGCACAGTTGTAAATTTGTGGGGCGCATAGAGTGAGGAAGGAAAAGTTGTTTGAAAATCTTCTAGTTGTGTGATGCTTCAGGTTTAAGCCTTATATATAAACTTGATGATGGTAAAGGCACATTATAAGAACCTTGAGAGAACTACATCACAAAATCTAGCCATTTGTAGATGGCTAGATTATAAATATATAGTGTCCAAGACCTTTTCCAATCCCATGCAAAATCCTATACTTCTAAAACGGTCCAGGTTTTTAAAATAGTGCACTATAGTGCCGCCATGACAGCTATGCACTCCGCAACATGGACAACAGAGAGGCGTTCAGCTACTGGGACCACCGTAGCGGAGCACTTAATTTTGTGGTTTCACAGTTGGAATAGCAGGGTTTGCGGTGTGACAGCATTGCTCCCATGAGTGCTGTGCCTCTTCCTTTCACCATTTTCTATCCCTTTTCCCCTCCCCATGTTTGCCTATTCCTTTAGGCCAACATGTCTACGTTATAATTGAATCTTCTAATGGGTAGCGGCACCTAGCGGCCACACTTTTAGGGTTACACAGCAAAGTGTGGGTTTGGGGAACTGGGCTAATGGGGACCCAAACATGTTTTGGGTGTTTACTTTGTCTTGGGCTAATGGGGGTATTAACTTCTTTTTGTTTCTTGTTTTATTTAAAGGATCACCCATAATATGTTGAACTAAATAATTGTAGTAATAAAAATAATTATGTAAACTATTTGAATCATAACATATGATATAATAAACTAAATAGTAATACAATAAAAAACTAAATGAAACATAACACTCTTAATTATAATAAAAACTAACATAGTAAATGGTAATAGTTATGAAAATTTTCGGAATAGTGACTCTCCTACTGTAATGATTTTGTGGCGTGCTGCTTTCCGTTCCTATCCATGATGTAAAACACTGCAAGGGTCTATAGTCCTGTACATTGGAATTTAACTGTATATTGGTTAATGGTCAACATGATATGCTAAAAAAAGAGTAACAGCATTTCCCCTGAAATGATTTGTGTGCTGATTTTTTCCATTATTGACTCTTAGATTTGCTTATTATCTTGACTTTTATATGATTGTTCTTTCATAGTAGCATTCTGTGCATCGTTGGATGCTATTCTGCTTTTTGATGTTTTGGCATGCGATTGGAAGCATTTTCAACTTAAACTTTTACTTGTCACTAAACTAAGACAACAGGATAGAAAACAAGGAGTGGTTGCATTCAATTTTTATCTATAGTGAGGTGTTTAGATTAAGTGTGGTGGATTTTAGTACTCATTGAACATAAAATCTTGTCAGGATTAAATGAGAGTGATATATTAACAATTCTAACAAAGAAAACTGCTTTAACAATTGATCTGCCAAGGATATTATTGGAGCGATTTATTTATGACTACCTCAGTAGTCAATTGCATGGGCCGTTAGATCATGCTTAGCTATCATGGGGCGTTCCTGACAGGTGTGTTCTACATCCCACATTTATTTGTTGTTTGCTGCCAGTTGTTCGATTCAGGCCACATGCTAGTTAGATGTTAGACACGTGGGTAAAAAGAGGAGCTGATTCACACTAGAGGAAGACTTTTAGAAACCTAACACTAGCAACACGGAACAGTTTCTCTGTTTTTAAACTTTAGCCACTTAGTTTTTAATTTTTATCGAAAGAAAATTTAGAGAAAAAGAAAAATCAGAATTATAATATAGACATGTTATATATATAATCAAGTTTTCTAATCAAATTTAAATGAAAGATTTGTGAATAATGATGTTTTGGAATTAGAATAAAACATTAATTAAAATATTAAACTTTTAAGCTTAAATTAATGAAAAAAGCCAAAATTTATGATAAATTCTAATGACAGAACTTACCTATTATTGTTAAGTATCAAATATGAAATATTTAATTGATGTGATAATTTCTTTATTTCATTATTTGTTTAATATCTTTTGATCATAAAATTTATAACTAAAGTTGTAAAATCTGTTGTAGTTTTTCAAAATACACATATTTACTAGTAGAATCATTGCTATAGCATTTTTAGGGCTGTTGCTCCATGCTGATATTTGTTATTGACTACTGTAATGTCTACTAAAGAAATCAGGTCTGGATGTCATGTATCCTGGTAAAAATTATAACATTGTAGAGAATTAAAAATAACTGGTGTCAAACCTACTGTTTGCTTGAATGATGAAGAAGAGATAAACTACCGTCCTCGTTTGTAAATATCCTAGAAGAAAGCATTTCTGAAGTTTAAATAGATTTCCTGTAAATTATTTTACAAGGTTGGGGAGTAGAATCCTATTTCTTTGATACTTGTGTGTATACCACAAGTGGTTAAATTTGCAAGTAAAGCTTTGACTTGTATACAAACCCATCAACTTCTCACTAACAAAATCAAACCCAGTTACAACTACTACAGAAAATGCAATAACTACTAAATAATCTCTTGGACCGAGTATCAAATTAAGTATTGTAATAAGTTTTTACAACTTCAAATTTTGTGCTAGTGCATTCTGCAACACATACCTTATTTCTGATACCAGTGTTTATGAAGACTTTTGAAAATTCAAGGGATTAGTTCAATACTTAGTCTACAGTATTTAAAATTAAGGCTTTGACGAGTTTTAATATTGGTCCATGTAAAAAAATGACTTTTCATTCTTCCAAAATTTAAATAACTGTTTTCAGTCTTTGTAAAACAAATAAAATGTTTTCTTTGATTTGCATGCCTCCAAAATCTAAAATCATTGTTTCATCCTTAACATTCATTTAAAGATAAATAAGATAAATAACACCAATTTTAGAGATTCCTCAACACATTGAGACATCACATCCTCATATTAATGTTACCGAGGATGATCATTTAACTTTTGTTAAACATATAAATAGTTAACAAGAATTATCACTAAAAACACAATGATTTCATACTATTAAGAAATCACTGATTTTATTGGGAGTAAACATAAGCATAACATTAACGTGTCATGTTGGCATGAGAACCGTAGACATACACACTCATATATTAATCAAGGGCGAAGAAAGGAAAACAAATGGCATCTCGGTATTTTAATATTGACTTTTATGCATTTAACTTAGTTAAGGTCATAGAAAATACCCAAAATATTCAATCCGTAAGAGCTTGTCAGTGACTCATGTTTAATGACTTTTTATGTCTTTTGGATTAGATTTGTTTATGAATGAGCAAGACACTGTTATTTATTTAATTGTAGTTATTCTGCATGTCATTTGTTGCAGACTGATTGGGAGGGTGGATACTTCCCACTGACAATGCACTTCAGTGAAGATTACCCTAGCAAGCCTCCAAAGTGTAAATTCCCTCAAGGTTTCTTTCACCCTAATGTGTATCCATCTGGAACTGTTTGCTTGTCTATTCTTAATGAAGATAGTGTAAGTATATCCCTCTGATAATTGCATGATTTCTTAAAACTTGTGTATTGTGATTCTACATGATTCTGACTGAGTGTGAGTATGTGTGTCTATCTATATATATATATATATTTACTTTTTTATAAAATCATTCTTTTATATTTTAGGGGTGGAGACCAGCTATAACAGTGAAGCAAATTCTTGTTGGCATCCAAGACCTGCTTGATCAACCAAATCCTGCTGACCCTGCCCAGACAGAGGGTTATCATCTATTCATCCAGGTAGCTAACTTGAAAAACCCTACACTTTCCACAGTGAATTGTATCATTATTTTGTTTTCAAAGAGTAAAGAACGGGTGACATAATTAATCAATGTCAAGTGGGGTGTGGCAGTAATATACTTTTCTAACTTTATGTATATGCAGTCCCTGCTTACGCAGTAGTAAATGTTAATATACTCGCACTTCCTGTCGGATCAGATCTTTGGTTATTGAACATTGTGCAATATGAGAAATGATGAACTTTATCGCTCAATTTGGTGGGTACGATAGCAACATTTGCTCTCCTTTGGCGATCCCTTGGGATTGCACCATTTGTGTTCTTCAGTTTAGTTTTTTTTCCCACAGCAAAGGGGATTCAGACCAAAAATCCCCCAAAGTCACAATTTGGGGATTGGTGATTGTGCTCCCTGGTTTGTAGGGTTCCATATTCTGGGAATGATAAATTCATTCCTAATTTTCATATACATGTATTTGCATATATAAATGATGTTGTAATGTTTTTATTATAATTAACGGGTGGGGGTTTATTTGTTATGCATTACCAGAGTTGTGTTCTTACAAATATTTCTATCAGCAGGATGCGACTGAGTATAAGAGAAGGGTTCGGCAGCAGGCAAAGCAATATCCACCTCTTGTGTAGTGTTATATCTGCTCACTTTAGGAAACTATTCTAGTATGTTAGTTGTTGTCAGTTATTTCTTGTTCTGTGTTAAAACTGTCTTGTGATTGTTTGCTGGCACAAAATGCAGACTCCATGGTTTTAACTATTTCTGCTTACTCTTAGGTCTGGATAACATTGTTAATATATTACAATGTGAAAGTCAACCAATAATACTTGTTGGCGACACTTGGCGTGCCTGATGTTCGCTGGTATATTTCTATATGAATGGATAAATTTACTGTGATGGATTATATGATATTAAGACTCCTTTGGAACTTTTTAATTCCGAATTTGTTGTTTCCATTATGGAGATCAAACCTAGAACTATTGGCCAATTGATTTGTCATTTAACACTTGTATCCACGTCCAATGGCAGTATAAATTATCACTGAAAACTCTGCTACGCAATTGATGATGATGATGATGAAGGATTTTCCTCTAACAGTGTGCTTAAGTGGCATATGCGTAGGAAGCTTCTTGATTGACCTCGATTCCTCCCCCAAGCGAAAGAAGTGGGGGAGAATTTTCCTAAAATTGGTTATCCGTTTTGTGTAAGAATGACCAACATAGTTGCACTCGTTTTATGCTAAGTTATTTAACATGTTAGTTTTTCATCATTCACCGTGTTGAGAGGTATGGGTTAAGTATGATATAAATATACGTGATGATACTGGAATGTGATTGAATCCTAAGAAGGGAACGGAATTCAGCCTATTTCCAAGTAATTAAATGACTTTTCATTTTCAACAATCGTATCTTCATGATTAAAATCTATGAAGTTCATGGGGTGAATTGCCACATTTGATTTTATAACTCCCAATCAACATTATTATCACATGGTTATCAAACTTTTTTTTTATTCTAATTATTTTGTTGGACAAAATCAATTGATTTTTTTATTATTTTAATATAAATATTGAAATTAAAAATGTTTAAAACTTATTTTTTATTATTTTATCAGTATTACTGTATAAGCTTATTTCTATATATTATTATATGAATTTATTTATTTTAGTAATGTAAAATTAATATTATTATATTTTTATTAAATTGATATTTTTTATATGAATAAGACTCTTCTGAGTCGAATTTCCAAATTTTTCAGAAGTCTACGTAGTGTCTCCAGTTTGATAACTTTGCTTTTGATTATTTTGAATGGATGGAAGGGAACTGGAGCTCTTCTCTGAATTTATAATCATAGCTTATCATCACATTCCCTCTTCCCATGGGAAACTCAACTGATTATTGTCACTGTTTTACTCTTGTGACCGTCCTCGCAATATGTTTATTACTGAATCCCCCAATTTCTTCTACCTTAAAACTCATCCAATATTTCAAGAAATCAACCGTTAATTAGATCACAAAAATATAGTATATTTTTTAGAATCTAGTATCTTTCCAATCAATGACCATTTATTTTTCTATGGCAAGAGAATCATTAACGGTTGTTACTCCATCTCTTGGAGCATTGTTCTCTTGAATATCATTCTCAACGGAGTTCTTTACCGTCGGTTGCTAACGCTGAAAATGAACACATAAAAGTAGAAGGGTGAAGAACATGTCTTCTTAATGATAAAAATTAAGTAAAAGAGGAGAGATCCATTAGATTATAAAAAAAAAATGAATTACATATTCGATGAGAACTAAAGCGATACTATATAGCAGAAAAATAATCAATAAATGAATCATTAACTATATGCAATAATGAGGCAAGAAAAAACAACGAATCGTAGCAGGCCTTTATTCAACAATAATGTGGACCTGTAGAGCCAATTTTTCTGACACTTACTAGATACAGCACAGAGGAAGAAGACCCGTAACAAATTTAAGTACGTTAATTTAGTATTCCAACATGCTGAGAGCCAAATGTCAATCTGCATGCAATTCCATATTCAAATATCCTTCCACAATAATTTTTCATTCAATATTATATTACGGTGATATTCTTTAATACTATATTATATTATAAAGGTTTCAAACTCATACTTTTTTTTTTAAGAAAAATTTAAACAGTGAAATGTGAAATAATCTGCGACTTTAGAACATCAGTAACTTTATTAATAACTTTATCAATAACTTTATTCAATACCTTTATATGCTACGCTAGGAGATAAGCAGAACAGATATGGAAATATATGCTACTTTAATTAAACCATATTTCACAATTATTTAGTTTATAAATAGAAAAATAAGTATAAATTTATTGAAAAAAAGTGAAAGGTTGAAGATTTATATTTTAAAAAGCTTTCAGCGCAATTAGTATTTTATGCAAATTCAAATGCAAACAAGACATCCAAAATGAGTTCAATTGTAAAAAAAAGTTAGAAAATTTATAAGTTTTTTTTTTTTTAAGTTGTCCATATTATGACTTGATAGATAAAAGAAAGAATAGTCTACAATTCGAACAATAAAATTTAAAAGCTTTTTCTTAAATAAATAAATAGAAAGAAGAACACACCGAATATACTATGGTAATAAAATCTTAGTATCTTTACCTTATGATTTTCTTCACATTTTAATATGGAGATCCTACATTTTGAAGATCTTGCATTATACAATAAAAAAAAATAATATATATATATATATATATATATATATATATATATTCTATTAATATCTATCAATCATTTATAAAAATATTTTTTTAATACTAGTTTTCAGATATAATATTTATAAGTAAATAGAGGATGTATCATTATGAAATGAGTATATTACGTTAAGATAGTTTTTTTTTTTTTACTAAAAAGGAATTGTAATATCATTTAAAAAATATTGTCAATACAGTCATTATTAGAAGTAAGGTGTTTTAATGATAACTAATAGTCATTATCGAATATAAAATATTTGACTACAATTGAAAATAATAATTTTATTTTTTCAACTTCAATGCCAATAATGAATTCAATAACGATTTCATTACTGTACTTTCCACTATTAAGTTAGTACATATTTCAGGAATAGAAATAAGCACTCGTAATAGAATAATAAAAAAAAATTATTTGTGCTACAAAAGAATGATGAGAAGAGAAAATAAAAAGATTTGGTTGTGCGACGAGAAGAAGAATCGATACAGAAATAATACAAAAGAGATAACAAAAATAGTAAAGAAAATGAAAAAGATTATTATAAACTAGTGTTTGAACGTACTTTCATTGTGAAATAAGAGGGTTTTTTTTTATCAAGGTTACAAATTTTAAAATTTTCTCTTTCTCTCTTAAGATCGTGATTGAAAGCTTGATTTTGACTAAAATTATACTTCTACGATTTTTTTTTTTTTCAAAAAACATGTTATGAAACACAACTTTATTTTTTTATATTTTGAAAAAAAGACATTTTTTTATTTTTTAAAATATATTATTTAATAAATAATTATTTCTAATTGAATTGTTAATTTAATAAAAAATAAAAATATTTAGACAAACATGGTTAAATTTAATTCACTATATTTATATTAAAGTATTATATGCATATACATTATCACAAAAGAAATTAATGGTGAGACCCTGTCCCATTAGGTGATCTTCTTATTTATCGTCTTGGTCTAAGTGGTTGGTCTTGAATAGGCCTTTGTTGTGCTTGTGTAGCACATGTACCACCCTGTGATGGTTGAGGTTGAATGTTTGCTTACCTATCATCATCCTCCTCTTCATTTACATATTGCATAGGGGATATATTGGGCATAGTAGTCACGAAAGGTGTTTGATTGTATGCTGATGGTGGTGTCATGGAAGAGGTGGAAAACATGTTTGTTTCAGATGGAAACAAAGTAAATGTATGAGGAACTTGTCCTCCAAATTCAAATTGCGCAGGTAAATTTTAGAGTTGATCAACATATTCAAAATATGGATAAGGTTGTTGATGACTCGACTGACCAACATGTTGATGACTTGATTGACCAACATAGACATGACTCGATCGATAGCATGGACATGACTAGGTTCGCTAATATATTGGGATTGTTCCTGCTACTATGTATCGTCATCGTTAAAAAATAAAATCAATATTAGTTTGATATGAATGTTATATATATAAAATAAAATTATTGATATACTTACTTCTTCATCTGAATCTTCTTCTTGGGTAGAGAAAATATATTTGATAATATGCTAAAAATATCATATCATATATGTTGTATTTTCACACAAATGACTATTTTCACTGAACTCGTTTCCTTGAATTAGTCGATTGTGATGTCATACCACATAGTAATCTAAGTTTCATGGTATTGAAGCCAAAATCTATCATTTCTACCTCTCATGTTTTCTTTGTGAAGTTTGTTAAAATTGATCGGGTCTTCTGGAATTGGTTGGCGAAGTCTAAATTGTCTCATAACCTGATTTATTGGATGAGGCTCAACAATAGCAAAATATATCATTGGAACTATACACTAGTACAAAATAGGCTTTTAACATCGGTACCCAGGGGCTTTTAACATCGATTCTAGAACCGATGTAGAAAGTGTGACTTTCCACATCGGTTGTAAGGAACCGATGTAGAAAGTCTAATATTTTTATTTATTCATAACCCCTCTCCAATTATCCTATCTATTGATAGGTAGGTCTCTTCTCCCTTTTATATTATATTTTTATTATTTATTATATTATTTATATTTTTTAAGAATTTGAATTATTATCAGATTAAGAGAATTGTCATTGGCAAGATTCGAACCCAATACCTTAGAGTCGAAGGTTGATACTCCAACCACTAAGCTACTAGGATTTTATGATAATAACTTATACATAAATTATATTTATATACAAATAAAAATGTATATCCATGTAAATATATAAATATAAAATATATAAATACAAATACAAATATATTTATATGTTGGATGTGAGGGCGCGCTCGAGGATGAAAGTGTGTGTCGAGTGAATTTTCAAAATTTGATGTCAAATTTGTGAGCGAGTATCTTTATATGGATTATAACTTAATGACAAAATATAATCTTTATAATTTATTTATATAATGATATAAAA